CTCCTTATTATGATCATTTTGATTCTTTGATCCTCCCCCTTTTTCAAGGATTATTTTATTTTAGAATTGATTTGTCTATCATGTTTCATGTATGTCATAGACTTTATCCTTAAGGACATTCAATAGGAGTATTTACAACTTTTGTGTTGCTTCTAATCTCCCCCTTATGTTAGACAACTTAATATATATCTCAATCTTTTGGAGAATCTATCTTTGTGCATCATAGTATATTCATTAATCATATATTGCACATCAAAATTATTAGATGAAAACTATTTGGTCCCTGACCATAAACCAATTCATACAATTATGTTTGTATGTAATATCATATTTCAGATCAACACATGAAACTTTATTTTCATAAGCAATGATTCACTATGTGAGACATTTATTGTCACATCATCTTGAGTATTTATCAATATTACCAAGATATATTGTCTTGATTACATATTCTGAAATTGTGCTCTTAACTCAATTACTTCTGCACAAACAATTTTGTGAATGTCAAACTACTGGTTGACAACCAAGCACATGTGATTATCTTATTGATGCATCTTTTTATAATATCACATGATAGGTAAACGGATCCATATTCACCTTTTATAATTTTCAGAATATAGGGATTTAGTTCCAACTTTAGTTGATCCAATCAACTTTATCACGAGAACAAACAGCGTAAAGAATTCTGGAAGAATCTTCTAGTTTTTCAATGTATGTCCATTACTCAGTATGCACATCTTTGGGATGACCAAATTATTCATGCCAACTAATAAAATTAGTAGTACTCATAAACTCCAAGTTTACTACGCCATGTGCCTTTTGCTTTAGTAAATTTCTGATTTACTATTTTATGAGTAAATTTCAATTTTATTACTCCAAGAGTAATTTTTTAGATTTATTTCTTCTCAATTACTTTATCCTTTAGGTGAGTCGTGATTCCATCATTGAATGAACTAACTGAAGAAAATTGTACATGTAACATATTATTTGTGCAAACATTTTTGCAAACATCAAGTTGCGAGAAAATAATAGGCACACATGAGACCATATAGAAGAAACATTTATTATGACCATTAAATATCTAAACAATCCACTAGGTGGATGACTAGGTCCACAAATACGTTCCTAGAACGCAGAAAATTCAATCTCAACTTTCATTTATGATGGTCTCACAATTAACTTGCCTTGTTAACAAGCAATACAAGAAAATTCACGTCTAGCATGATGGCTTATCACCTCATTCACTCTAAAGAATGGATCTGTATTATTACCATTTATCAAAGTCTCTCATTCTTCATGAATGGAACACAATCATCTAAGTACATCAAATTTTGATAACTTAGTACCTCATTCCATATTCATGTGTATCATTCAGTCAATTGTCTTCTTTTAGACATTATGCACTACTACATTCACTTTGGAGAATGGATCTGCTTTAACGAGATATATTTCATGACTAATTTTATCAAAAACTCATTATTTCCCTTAGTCATCATAATATCATCAATATGGTGCATTGAGACTCAAACTCAACGTCTTATGCCATAAATCAATGAGGCACTTGAATCCAACATCTTTCATCACAAAGTATCAAGAATTCTGATGTGTTACCCTCTTGGTGCGATTAGACATGAATCTATTGTCTTACCATCTTGGTGCAATTGGACTTGAATCTATTGTCTTATCTTCTTTATTTTTATGCAATTGGATTATATTCTCAATTAAGACTCACTTTAGAGCCTTTAATAATATTATACAACATCTTTCAACACGAGGGAAGTTGTGATGAAAACTTTTATCATGGATCCATAGTAAGAAACATATTCTAATATAAAATTTCTAAAATTTTCAAAATTGTAGTTCACCAATATATTTTAACAAATCATATATTATTAACTTTTTTTTTCTTTGCTAATTCCAGTGGCATTATGTAGAACATTATAAATTTCATTAGCTCTTGTAAAAAGAATCAAGTAAATAGAATAAAGAATTATGCTAACCTGGCATATTGCTTTCTCTATAACGTTGTAATACTAAACAATTCAATTAATGGATCCAAAATTGATTACTCAATTTATATGTAAACACGCGTCTCTCCCCTCGTACATATCAACCGACCTATTTCACAAATTTGGCAAAAAGACGAGTTCGGTAATATATAGCTCAATCGATATGTCAATTGGTTAGAAACTCGTGCTGATAACGTGTTATGAAACTATATAAATTTAGAAGAAGAAGAAAGTAGGGAGAAGAGAAAAGACTTATTATTTCTCTTGAAGTATATTCAGGATTCATAGACACGAATCTTCTTTAAAATGAAGGAAAATCCTTTATTTATAGGGAAAACCTTACTTGGTCCCCAAGTAGGATTCCTAACCATATCCTACTAGGACTCCACATAATTAGAAATTCACTATAATACAAATTGTTTGTAACACTTTTAAAATAATATACATATTTTTTTCTCAAAGACTTTGCACAAAAAAGCATAGTCCTTGACATGCACAATATTTATTTTAAATATGTTTTAGTATTCAAAATGTTCAATTAGATGTAGGATAAAAGGACGAATATACCTCTAAATTATCGTAAATGGTATGCAGATATTCTCTGACAAACTTTGTGACATTGGTACCACTGTCGTCTAAATCTAGAGCATATATACTCTTTATATTAACGGACATACATGTATCCACCGACCGACATTATTATAATATTGGATCAACTAATAAGATTGCACCACGTGTCTTTATTCAATTTTTCATTAGAGTGAATGACATATGCTTTAGTTTTTGGATGGCAGGGACACTAATATCTCAAAAGTATAACAGATAGTATCTGCATGTCATCTATCTGATAGTTCAGGGATAAATTTATCTTTTTTCCCTTAGATATATTACCATTGAGTAAAATGTTGTTCTAATTTATAATTAAGTTATTAAAGAGTCTTTTTTCTATTCTACTGTTACTTTAGAATTATATTTTTCAGCTAAAGTTATTGTTGTAAAAAAAATACTAAATCTGGCGGCATTAACTTCATGGAGTCAAGTGTGAGGTATCCATTGATCAACGCAAACATGTGTTCACTCCAGAAAGATATGAATCTAAGACCAATGAGATAAATGGAATTGCTTAAGGATTATGATGTGACTATTTAGTATTATCCACGAAAGGTC